TTAATTTTTGTGCGTTAGTGCTTTTAATTAGTAATTTCTAATTTAATTTTTGTGCTTTAGTGCTTTTAACTAGTAATTTCTAATTTAATTTTTGTACTTTAGTGCTTTAGTGTTTCTAACTAGTAATTTCTAATTTAATTCATTCTTAGGTATCAATTACCCAATGTCTTCACAAGAGCCTAGCCCCCCATCGATTCAAATTCCAAATGAATCAAGTGCAGGTATTATACCGAGTGCTGTTGCTACACCAACTTCATCCTCGGCTATGGTTCCTCTTGTGTTAGAAAGTGGTGAGGATAAAAAAGATGATCAAAGCCATAAGCGGCCACTTACTTCTGAAGCATGGAACCATTATAGGAGGCAAAAATTTAATGGTCATTGGAAAGCAGTTTGTGTCTATTGCAATAAACATCTTGGAGGCACTGATGTGTCTTTAAGATTGGTTGAAGGAAAATCTGAAAGGTATTAAATTAAGACTATATTTCTCTTATTTTCTTATTTTGAATTTGTATTCTAAACTTTTATTATGTTTGAAATTCAAGTTCTGATAATAATGGGAATTTCTTCAATCTATTTGACGAGTTGGAGGAGAATGATAATGAAGATGATGAGTTTGAGGTAAATTTTAAACAATAATGTTTCTTTATATAAATTATTATATAATTTTTTTAAAATTTTGTTAATATGGGGTATTTGTTTTCGTTTCAGGAAGTTATTTCCTTAGCTTGAAATTATTGATCAAGCTTAGCTTAAGTTGCTGCTGTAGAGTTTGCCTTGTTGGATTGGATGGATATGTACACATGTGCCACTTTCTAGACTCTTTTATGTGCTTTTTCTTAATTAACTTATTGTTGGACATGTATTGCAACAGTTTATGCTTCTTTTTTTTTTTTTTCTATCAATTTTGCTGAATCTAGACATATATGACAATTGCAATTTATGCTTTTATTTTTTACAAACTTTTTGTTAGATTTGTTGGATTTATGAAATATGAACTTGTTGCTGTCTTGCTTGATAATGACATGTATATATTGGCTGTGTTATTGTGTATATTTACTACTTGTTTATCTTGTTTCAAAATTTTATTTTATATGATTATTTGAGTTAATTTTATTTGATGAATGTGGAAACCAGTGGAGTCTAAATAGTGTCATGTTGAGTTTTATTTTGATTAACAAGTAGTGAAAATTTTTATTAACAAGTAGTGGAAGAGGTGATAGTTTTATTGAGTGAGGACTCCGAATACTTACGGAGACTTATTATTCTCCACGGATATGAAAACGGAAGCAATTTTTAATCCTCCGTCAAAAATCCCCATAAGGATCTCGTACCTGTCATTGACAAGAATGAGGATGGGGAAAGGTCCTTACTCTTGTGGGGACCCGTTGCCATTCCTAGTGCTACCATCATTCTTACTCCTCTTTTCTTTATTTTATGATAAGAACTAAAATGTTGTGAAGTAACACTCCCTCTCTTTCTTTCTTTCTTTCCTCTTTTTTTTTTTTTTTTTTTTTAAGATTTCAGTGATAATGGACAAAATGCCCATATATTAATAATAAAAATCTGAATTGGACCACTCTATCCATCTGGGCCTTGAATAACGCCAACCTTCCCACAACGAGGCCCAATCCAAAATGTTAAAATCCCAGTCCAAGCCCAATCAACCAATGGCAAAATTGTCTTTTCCAGTTTCCAAACCCTAGCTATATATATCAAACCAAGCCACCCTACCAGCGTTTGTCTGGCTACTATTTTCATACTCGACTCGGGAGAGGACTCTTCGCCGTTGCCGCCTCCGTCGCTGCTAGAGTTCGTTCAGGCTCTCTACTCCAAGGTAAGCAACCTAACCTCGCCGGAAATTTGGCGTGTGGATCTGATATGGTTACTTCAACATGTAGAAGATGTTGTGCTTGGTTGCCGATAATTCTTTTTTTTTATTAGATTTGCAAAGGATATACCATACACAGTTCAAAAAATCTTTTGAAATCGTATTAGCGTAGAAGAGATTGTGTTTGGTTGCCGAGAAATTTTTGAGGATTTGTTAAACATATACCATAAATTTTGGAAAAGAATTTGACATCATGATTGAGTAGAAGAGATGTGTTTAGTTGCCGTGGATATGTTGTAGGTTAATGAAGGATATATTATGAGACTCGAAAGAGGATCTGAGATCGTCATTTTATTGTTGCTGTAATTTAGGTTTTGTATTTTTGACGGTATGTTTAGAATAAGTAGCTTATAATTTGCTTTTGAAACTGTTGCTGCTGCCTTCTTTCTGATTTTGCGAGTGTCTGTGTAGCTATGGAAATTGCTAAAGGATTATTTGAAATCGTGACTAGCAAAGAAGGGATTTTGTTTGGTTGCCGAGAAAATTATTTTTGTAGATTAATGGAGGATATATTATAAAGTTTAAAATGTCTTTTGAAATGGTGATTAGTGTAGAACAGGTTGCATTTGGTTTCCGAGAAGATATATTGTAGATTAATGAAGGATATGTTATACAGCTTAAAAAGGATTATTTGAAATCGTTACTGGCAAAGAAGGGATTTTGTTTGGTTGCTGAGAAAATTTTGTGGATTTTTGGAAGTTATATTATAAATCTTGGAAAAGTATTGGACATCCTGATTATAAATATTATATTGTAGATTAATGAACGATATAATGTGAGATTTGAAAGGGTATCTAAACATTGTCATTTTATTGCTGCTGCAATTTAGGTTTTTTTTTTTTTTTTTATATGTTATATTTTGAATTCCAATTTAGGAGGAATTAAAATATGTGAAAAGTGAAAATCAGTATGGCTATATTCATTAATGATATTTTAGTCTATATTTTGATTTTTCTTAATCTCATATGATATTGAATGTCTGCTAACATCAAAGTAGCTGTTCAAATGGGATTTTGGTTGTCCATTGAAGTTTTAGACTGCCTTTCTGATTGCCTAATTTTGTGTTATCTGCTAGAATGGATTCCCAAATCAAGCACGCTGTGGTGGTGAAGGTTGTGGGTCGTACCGGATCAAGAGGGCAGGTGACTCAAGTGAGAGTGAGGTTTACTGATGACCCAAACCGATTCATCATGAGGAATGTGAAAGGGCCAGTGAGGGAGGGTGATGTCCTCACCTTGCTTGAGTCTGAGAGAGAAGCAAGGAGACTTCGTTGATGCCTCTATGTTTGCTGTTTGTCAGCATGTAGTGCCTTGAGTTAATGTTATTTTTAAGTTTCGTTTTCTTCCCCAGTGATTGTGACCTGAAAGTTTTGAGTGCCTATAAATTGTGCTGTGTTGGATGATTTAAACCTTTTGTTTAGGCAAAGGACTAAATTGGTGGTATTTTAACTTGTTTATTATTTCCTTGTGAACTAAATTGTGGTATTTTGTCTCCTCTTTCAAAGAAAAAAAATTAATGCATTTCTAACATATACCTTAAGATATAAGTTGAGAATAATATTTTAAACTTTAATTTTTGTTGAAAAAATAAAACTTAATATTTATTTAATTAATTGTTTAATTAAAAAGATAAATGTAGTATTAATGATAAAATTAATATTAATTATTATTATTTTTTATAGTAATTAATATAAAAAATATATATTAATTATATTTTTAATTTGTATTTTAAATGTATAAGTTAGATAAATTTGATGGATTTATCGTTTTTATAAGTACTCCTTACATTTTAACCAAATTCTCTCATAATTTCCAAATAATTGTGTTGTGCGCTTGATTGGTTTGTTACTAAATTTGCAGTTTGAGGAGTACGCTTGATTGGATGCAGCAGCTCCGTCCACCAACTCATCTCTGCGACGTTTTCCTTGCCTCCACTGTCCCCGGGAGTTTGCCACCTCTCAAGCTCTCGGTGGCCATCAGAATGCTCACAAGCGCGAGCGAGCCACTGTTGCTCGGCCAAACTTTCC